CTTTCATGGGTGTGGTTATTCTTAAACTGATGGTGAAGGGGACGTGAATTTTTGACGTATAAAAGGGATAATGGCTAGAAAAGCCAGGGGGTGGCCTGCCTTCCCCTTGTAGGGTTAGAGGAGGTCAGAACATGTGGCCTCCTTGTCGTTTTTGCAGTAGGCCAAATAAAACACATGTGGGGACTGACTGCAGTATTTGGCCTGCTTTGCAATTTCCGAATTTCTGATGGAATGGTTGAGACCTTTAAAAAGGTCTGAATCCCAGTTCTGCCACTTGTTAGCTGAATAAAATCTTGTTCAAGATTTGTAGTCTCTTTGAGCTCAATGATCTCACCAATAAAATGGGACTAACAAACTGAGCCACTGTGAGGTTTAAGATAATGAATGCAAAATATCCCGCACAATCCTTGGTCCATAGTATATACTCAGTAAATGTAGCTACTCCGCCAAAGTACCTCTAAGCTTCATGGTGATTGGAGGAGCCCTTAACTCCCACCATACTTAGTCCACTCAACCAACCATTCTTCTCCAGTATTTGGGTTCTCAGTGAACTATAACTCAGACACCTGAGGCACTCAGATATGCTCACACACACCCTGCATACACCCTTGGGAGGATTTTGAGATGCCAAGGCTAGTTACCAAGGAAAGATGTCTAGGAGATTTCCCTGGGGTTCAACTGCAACCTTCCAGTGCTGGTTGAGAAGATATGCCTGCTGGCTAATACGACCTTTTGGACCTTTCTCAGCCTTAGAATTTTTTTGCTTTGATTTCATTAACCCCTGTACATGCACACACTCACATATGTCATTTGCTCAAAAACCTGGGCAAGAGTGGCTGCTTTTTCCTTTTCCCAGGAAGGTTCTATTTTTTAGCTGGCTCTCACTCGACCTCATTCCCCCACCATGACAGGGAGGGGAGATGCTGTGCCAGCCCTTAAAACCATGATTTCCTGAGATTTATTTACTCATCAGGGAACTGGAGGAGAGGGGAGAACAGGGTGGCTGAAGCTCAAATGATCAAACGAAGAGGGATCAGGGCCTTGTCTGGGACCCTGGAGTGAGAAACAGCAATGGCCCTGTGCACTCAGGAGGGCTTGACTAGTTCCAAAGCACTTGCTCACCAGATTCTCCTGGAGCCTCCTGTTGCCCAAGTAAAATGGCAGCAGTGTGAGGGACCCCATCTTATAGAGGGAGAAACTGACCTGAGTGTCTTTTCTGAACAAATTTATCCAGCTCACTCAAGTCTCCCGGGATCAGGAGCCCTAGAATTCTGGGAATCTCTAGTGGAGTTTGTATAGAGTTTTATAAACCTGTGTCCTAAGCAGAACCCCAATTTAACAACAACAATAGTCACCATCTAGCCAGCACTCTCTACATCCTCAGTATCTCCCCTACTTTAAAATATAGAAGAGAATGAGGCATGAAAAAGTGACTTTTTCCCAAGGTCACTAGTAGGTATTATAGTATTTAAACTCAAGATTGGCTGATTCAAATGTTTGCTCTAACCTTGTATTATACAGCCTCACTAGGGTCACATTCCAGGAGTCACTAGAAAATCCTGTGACTCAGTGAGTTGTTTTCCGTTTTTGTTTATATGATTCTACATTTCAAAAAATTCCCATTAAAATCTATTAAAAAAAAAAAAGAAGTAAAAGGATTTAAAAAATAAGCAGCCTTGATCTCATCATAATTGGAAAAATTGTTTATCATAGATGTCACATATTAATAAACCATCCATTACCCTGTTTTACTGATTTTAAAATGCATGTGTTGGTTTGTTTCACCTTTGCATTTGGGATACATCTTAGAATCTGTGGAATCTAAACTCCCATGAACTATCCTGTTTTATTTGGCCCTATGAATAATCCTGCTAAGCATTGCCAAGATTACAATCCCCATTTTACTACTGGGAAAATTGAGGTTTAGAGAGGTTAGGCAACTGGCCTGAGGTCACAGAGAGAGTCAATGTAGAGACAAGACGGAACCTCATCTGATTCTCAGCACAAGCTTTGTCCACCATCCGTGCCTGGCCTTCAGCCCCTGTGCTCACACCTACCTATTCCCATCACTTCTGGTCACACTCCAGCAGAGGCCTGAGGGGGACCTCAGCCCCCTACCCATGGTTTCCCAGCCCTGGCCAGTGATAGATAAACCCATTATAGGGACTTCTGGGACAATTCATGCCTATACAGGAAGTTTTCAGGCCAAAGGATCCCACATGTAAGACTGCACCCCATGTGTGAGCAGCACTATTTCTGCCTTATACCCTCAGAAACCATACAAACTAGATCCAGGGGTTCCCTGTCTGGGGTCCCCATTCTCTGGAAATAAACACAAGTGTCCTATTTCTCATATTTCAAAAGGCCAAATGAAAATCAAATATTGACTCTAGATAAGACCTCACAGGCAGACTAAAACATCCCATTTCTTTGCTGTTGGCTAACCTTAAATCAGCTCAGCGGTACGGCCTTTGTTTGTTCCTGCTGACCAGAAAACAGGGATTGGTTATTATAGGGTCACAATTAACGTAAAAAGGTGGGGGGATGATTAGCAAATTATTAAGTAACAGGTACAACTTGACAGTCAAAAATCTCTCAAAACAAGGGATGTCACAGGAAAATAGTAAAAAGGGGAAGCTGCTGTGGAAGTCTGAGTGCCTCGTTTTCCCAGATGGGGAGTGTGAGCTGGAGTGACTTGCTCAAGGTCACACAGCAGGGCTGGAACCAGCACCCAGTTTCTGCCCCTCGGGAGAGGCAGCTTCCCACTGCACTCTGCTGCCCAAGCAGAGTTCAAGCAGCCCAGCGCATCAGGACTCACCAGGGTTGCTGGAGGGAGTCAGGACAAGGAAAAGGCTTCTCCCTTGCACCTGTGGGCTCTTTTCTGGTGGGTAGCTGCCAAGGCCACGCTTCTTTCCTCCCTGGGAATCTGCAAGGGCAGCTAGGTGCAGGAGCCTCCTGGAAAGCCACCTCTGGCAAAGGTAAAGGAGGCCTCCTTGAAGAAAGAACCTGCCAGGACATGGAGTGACCAGGCTCCAGGTCACAGTTTGGCCACAGAAGGTTTAGCTACTTCCAGATTGCCCAGCAGCCTCTGGGCACCCACAGGGCAGCTCTCCAACTCACCAGGCTGCTTTTCCTGCCAGCTGCAGGGCGCCTTTAAGAGAGCAAGCACAGCTCATTGGCTGAGCAAGGCTCCCCCTACCTCTTTACCTGAGCAGGTGAGAGTAACTAGGTTAGGGGCAGGCCAGAGATTCAGGTGAGTAAACAAACCGCGGCAACCAGCTAGCTCTCCCTTCCTCCACAGCCCTGACCCTGGGATCCTTCTTTACCACCCTCTCTGTACCTGGGGTAAATGACCTAGGAGTAAATAAATGGCAGAGCATTCTAAAAAGTGCTTAGTGTTGCTAAGTTTGCAAAGCTACATTATCTCACAGTAACCCTAGACCAGAGTTATTAATGTCTTCTCTTTCAGATGGAGAAATTGAGAGAAGAGGTGACTTGTCCAGTTCCTCTTGGAAGGAAGGTTGACAGAGTGGGATGGTGTGAGGATCCAAAACTGAGTTTCCTGCTTTTGACTTCCCATACAGTGTTACTGATTATACCATCTTCCTCTCTATAACCTTTGGCATGTCACTCACTGCATTAGTTTCCACAACTGTAAAACTGACCACATGCTTGTAGGTCAGTCTCCAGTACTATATCAGTTGTTTTTGAGCTGATTCCAACTCATGGTGACCCCTTGTATGTCAGAATAGAACTCTATTCCACAGTGTTTTCAACGGCTAATCTTTCTTTCTTCTGAGGTGTCTCTGGGTAGATTCAAACCTCCAATATTTCGGTTAGTAACTGAACACTTTAACCTTTGCACTACCCAGGACTCCACAGTCATTATGTGCCATTGAGTCGATAAGTCAATTCTGACCCATGGTGGCCTTATATAACAAAGTAAAACTGCCCATAGTGTTTCCTAGGCTGTAAATCTTTACAGGAACAGATTGCCATGTCTTTTCTCCCACAGAATGGCTAGGGGTTTGAACAGCCAACATTTTAGTTAGCAGCCAAGTGCTTTAAACATTATGCTACCTGGGCTCCTTATACAGTCACTATCCAAATCAAATAAACAAACAAACCCAGTTGCCATTGAGTCAATTCTGACACACTGTGCACTGTGACCCTATGAGACAGAAAAGACTGCTTTTAGAGTTTTAGGGTTTCCAAGACTGTAATCTTTACAGAAGCAGATTGCCACATCTTTTTCCCATGGTGTGGCTGGTAGTTTCGAACTACCAAACTTTCAGTTAGCAGCCATGCTCCTAATACACTGAGTCACTATGACTTTTTCATATAGTCATTATACTGAATTTATATTCTTGGATTTACATCTAAAAGGGACTTTGGAGATTATCTAGTTTATGCATTCATTCAACAGGGATTGTTATTCAGCAGCTATTATGTGCCAGGCCCAGTTTGAGTTCCTGAGGATACTTCAGTGAAGGAGAAAGTCAAGGCCTCTTCTCTTAATGAATTTACATTGCAGACGGATGGGAGATAGACATAAACAAAAAATAAGATACGTATTAGTGTTGTTGTTATGTGTAGTTCAGTCAATTCTAACTCATAGCAATGCTATATACACACAGCAGGATAGAACTGACCCATAGGGTTTCCCAGCTGCAATTTCTATGGAAACAAATTGCCATATCTTTACTTGTGGTGAGCAGCTGGTGGGTTCAAACCACTAACCTTTCAGTCAACAGCCAAGCCTTAGCCATTGTGCCACCAGGGCTCTTTACTGGTATTAGTAGCAGTAAGAAATGAAATAGGCTGATGTGCTAGAGAAATGGAAGAGGTGCTGTTTTAGATTATGTGGTCAGTGGTGCTCTCTCTGAGGAGGTGAGGAGGTGAAATTGGAGATGAGATTTGAATGATGAAAAGGAAAGAGTCATTGCAAGAGCTGGAGCAAGAGTATTCTAGGCACAGGATGGCAAGTGCAAAGAACCTGAGGCAGGAAAGCAAGCATGGTGTGTTTGGAGAACAGGAAGAAAGCTGCTGGGACTAAGTATAGTCTAATCATTGCTTTCCCTTCTTATTTTTTTAATAGACAAGGAAACTATTCAGAAAGGTGAGCTGACTAGTGACTTTACACAATTAATTAAACCTCCTTGAAAATTCTTCCTTCCTTTCTTGATAGTCTAGTATTAGAGAGGAAAACTGAAGCCTGGGGCTCCTTAGCATGTTCAGTTACCAACCCATCAATCATTTCACTACTCTATACTGCTATGGGACTCTGGTGTAGTGCCGAAGGCATTTGACTGCTAACCAGAAGGCTGGCAGTTCAAACCCACCTTGAACTGCCTTGGAATGAAGATTGGAATGAAGATTGGCACTCCTTGGAATGAAGATTGGGCAATCTACTTCCATAGAGATACCGCCTTGGAAACCCAAGGAGGGGTTGCTATGAGTTGAATCAACTCAATGGCAGTGAGTTTTTTATTTTTATTATTTATTATTTTTTTTATACTGCTATGTTCCAACCACCAGAATAATCAATATGTCTTGATTGCATGTTTTGTCAATTTCTAACTGCAAAAATTAGTAAAAATCTTCAGTTTCCTCATCTCTGGCTTTAGTGGTTTGTGCATAAATTTGAATAATAGTCTTCCTTGTAGGCGTATGGATGCTATCCTATCACTGACGTTATTGTACTTCAGGATAGATCTTGAAACATTCTTTGTGAAGATGAATGAGACCCCATTCCTCTTCAATTTGTCATTCCTGGCATAGTAGATCATATGATCGTCTGATTCAAAATGGCTAGTACCAGTCCATTTCAGCTCACTAGTGCCTAGGACATCAATCTTTATGCATCCCATTTCATTTTTGACAACTTCCAATTTTCCTACATTCGTGCTTCGTATAGTCCATGTTCCAATTATTAATAGATGTTTGCAGCTGTTTCTTCCCATTTTGAGTCATGACCCATCAGCAAATTATTGTTATGTGTCGTTGAGTTGGCCCCAACTCATAGCGACCCCTCCTTGGGTTTCTGAGTCAGTATCACTACAGAAATAGGATTGCCCAACCATCAGAAAATGGAGGTCCCAAAAGTTTTACTCTGTTTCATTAAGGTTGACTCTTCTTTGAGGAGGCAGCTTTTCCCCAGTGGTATGCTGAGTGCCTTCCAACTTGAGAGGCTCATCTTCCGGCACTATATTAGATAATGTTTCAGGGCTAGTCATAAAGTTTTTCAGTACTATATAATACAGTGTTTCACTGTTATTTATAAGGTTTTCACTGGCCAATTGTTTGAGAAGTGGATGGCCCCTTCCTTCTTCTGAATCTGTCTTAGTCTGAAAGCTCTGCTGAAAACTGTCCATCATGGGTGACCCTGCTGGTATTTGAAATACTGATAGCATAGCCTCCAGCCTCCAGCCTCACAGCAACATGCAAGTGACCACAATACAACAAATTGATGGATGAGTGGTAGAGTTGGAAACCAAGAAGAATCACCAGTAGTTGGAAAAATATGGCTTGGTGATAGAAATGATGCCGGAGATCACATGACACAATTTTGCAAGACCAATGACTTATTCATTGCAAATAACTTTTTCAACAACATAAATGGTGGCTGTACACAAGGACCTTGCCAGATGGAATACACAGGAATCAGATTGACTACATCTGTGGAGATAGGCAATGGAGAACCTCAATATCTTCAGCCAAAACAAGGCCAGGAGCTGACTATGGAGCAGACCATCAATTGCTCATATGCAAGTTCAAGTTAAAGCTGAAGACAATTAAAACAAGTCCACAAGAGCCAAAATATGACGTTGCTTATATCCCATCTGAATTTAGAGACCATCTGAAGAACAGATTTGATGTATTGAATTCCAGTGACCAAAAGCAGACGAGTTGGGGGATGTCATGAAGAACATCATACATGAAGAAACCAAAAGGTCATTAAAGAGACAGGAAGGGAAGAAAAGACCAAAATGTATGTCAGAAGAGATTCTGAAACTTGCTTTTGAATGGAAAGTAGCTAAAACAAATGGAAGAAATGACAAATTGAAGAGCTGAACAGAAGCTTTCAAAGAGCAGCTCGAGAAAGCAAAGTCAATTATTATAATGAAATGTGCAAAGACCTGGAGTTAGAAAGCCAAAAGGGAAGAACACACCCAGCATCTCTCAACCTGAAAGAATTGAAGAAAAAATTCAAGCCTCTGCAATATTCAAAGATTCTATGGGTACAATATTGAATGATACCGGAAACATCAAAAGAAAATGGAAGGAATACACAGAGTCATGGTACAAAATAGAATTGGTCGATGTTCAACTATTTCAGGAGGTGACATATGATCAAGAACCAATCAATGGTATTGAAGGAATAAGTCCAAGCTGCACTAAAGGAATTGATGAAAAAGAAGGTTCCAGGCATTGACAGAATACCCACTGAGAAGTTTCAACAAACAGATGCTGTGCTGGAGGCACTTACTCATCTATGCAAAGTAATTTGGAACACAGCTACCTGGCCAACTGACTGGAAGAGATCCATATTTGTACCCATTCCAAAGAAGGTGATCCCACAGAATGTAGAAATTGTTGAACAATACCATTAGTATCACATGCAAGTAAAATTTTGCTGAAGAGCAAGGGGAAAATTTATGATAACTTCTTAGCCATAGCCAACCACTCTGAGGGAGCCAGTAATTGGGCCTGTGGGCTTGGGACCATGGTTGCAGGGGACATTAAGCTCATTTGACATAACATACTACATAAAAACATTGTTCTATATTCTACTTTGATGAGTAGTGACTGGGATCTTAAAAGCTTGCAAGCAGCCATCTAGATGAAACATTGGGTCTCTCCTCATCCAGAGCAAAGAAGAATGAAGAAAACCAAAGACACATGGAAACTATTAGTCCAAGGGACTAGTAAACCATGCGATCCTCAGCCTATATGACCATGAAACCAGAAGATCTAGATGGTGCCTGGCACTCAGAAAGGTATCAGTGCAGGAGATCCTGGAT